GGATGGAAAAAAAAAAAAACCTCTTCCATTATTTGCTATATCTGGTGGCAAATGAAGAAGTTAAAATGCATCTATTGAACATAGTGATCACTTGAAACTTGATACTTGATATCTGATATATGACATTTGATTGTGACGTCTATATGAAATCCCCGAAGGATTAAAAAAGGAACATGTGTCATGGGCTGCTCTTTCTAAAGCAATTCGTGCAGCACTACTCACTTAAACGTTTAAAGTGATGCTAGCTCAGTCTATCCAAAGCAAAATCTGCAAGTTTGGAATGAGAAATTTAGGAAGAAAGGAAGGTTCTTGACCTAACTCAAAGAAGACTTCTCAAATTTTTTAGAACCATTCAATTCTACCCTTATACAAATGAGGGGTCTTGCCACATTTATAGGCAAACCATTAAGGTCCTAGAAGTTTCTTCCACCCCCTCTACAAGAATTACCTCCAAATTTCTAGACTATTCTTGAACATTAACCTAGCATTACCTAGAATTTTTTAGTTAATTCCACATTGTCCTATATTGTACAAGATTCTAGAAGGTTCTAAAAAGTTTTACACCATTCTAAAATATTCTACATATTTTCACGATGTTCTACACATGCCTAGAATAATATATAATACTTTAGAACTTTCTAAATATTTCTAGAAATGTCACGACCGTGACACTCTCCTCCACCTGAATGGAGCATTGTCCCCGATGCCCTATGTGCCAACTCATTGTCTTCACGAAAACTTTGAGCTATGGCAGTAAGTTTACTACGAGATGGGCAGTCACGAACCAAGTGAGACCCTCCACATAGAAAGCAACCTTCAAATTTTTTAGTTTTCTCTACTTCTGACTTCTCTTTGGAGGCAATCTTTGCTCCTTCAAATGATTTCGGATAAGATATCGTGTTGTTTTCTCCACCTGTGTCATTGAAACATTTCTCGCCCGTGGCTTCATTGTAATTCTTATTTTGAAACTCCACAAGAGATTCTGCTATGCGCATAGCATGTTTAACGTCTTGGACATCTCTCCGTTGCAACTCTAGGTTAGCCCAACGATTAAGGCCATCCATAAACGTAACAAAAGCTTCTTTAGACGAGAGATAAGGAATTTCAAGCATAAAGTCAGAGAATTCTTGCACATATTCCCTTGTGTAGCCCTTTTTATGGTGTAAGCGACAAAGTGTGGCCCAAGCTTCAACTTCAGCATCAGCTAGGAGAAATTGCTTCTTAAATTCCTCCTTAAATCCTTCCCAAGTTGTGAAAACTGGTGCATCTTGGCCTACTAGTTTCATCATACGTTTCCACCAAGATAAAGCACTATCTCTCAAATAACAAGAGGCTTGATAGAGTCTTACCGAATCGTCCGTCAAGCCCATAGCGCCAAAGTACCTCTCAAGCCCATAGAGAAAATTCTCTACATCCCTTGTCTTGCGGCTACCAGTATATACATCTGGTTTTGGTACGTCGACCAATGGAGTCGGCCCTCCAACTCTGGTCGTCCCCTGTGCACGTAGAGCATCCACTCGTACCTTGAGCTGCTCCATTTGTGCACGATAAGTCTCAAACTCACCCCTGAGTTTAAGCACATCACCTTGGAGTATGGTGACCTTGGCTGCATTTCCTCGCAAGCCTTCGTGACCCTCTCAAACACTCTGTTGAGTCCCCCAAGCATTTCTTCACGCATTTGTTGCGTGATCTCTTGCAATTCACCCTTGAATTGCTCCATGCATTCCTTAGAGATAACTTCCACCGTGAAAATATGCTCTTCCCAACGATCTTGGTGGTTGGCCGCGGCTAACTCCACCTTGGCAAGCCGTTTCTCAAAGTCGACCACAGGCTCGCGGACAACAGACTTGTCCCTACGAGTAGTTCTCCTAGTTACCCTCTCTAGCTCCCTGGAGACATGATCCCCACCTCCCACCTCAACCTCTCCTAGGTTGGTGGCTTCAAATGGTGTTGCCATAATACTTAGCACAAGCAGAAGTGTAGCTCGAACGAGGCTCTGATAACCAACTGTCACGAGCTGCTCTTTTAATAGTAATCTGTGCAGCACTAGCTCACTCAAACGTATAAAGTGATGCTAGCTCAGCCTATCCAAAGCAAAATCTGCAAGTTTGAAATGAGAAATTTAGGAAGAAAGAAAGGTTCTTGACCTAACTCAAATAAGACTTCTCAAGTTGTTTAGAACCATTCAATTCTAAACTTATACAAATGAGGGGTCTTGCCATATTTATAAGCAAACCCATAAGGTCCTAGAAGTTTTTTCCACCTCCTCTATAAGAATTACTTCCAAACTTCTAGACTATTCTTGAACATTATCCTAGCATTACCTAGAATCTTCTAGTTAATTCCACATTGTCCTATATTCTACAAGATTCTAGAAGGTTCTAAAAAGTTCTACACCATTCTAAAATATTCTACATATTTTCACGATGTTCTAAACATGCCTAGAATAATCTATAATACTCTAGAACTTTTTAAATATTTCTAGAAATGTCACGACCGTGACACATGGTTCCGATTCTCGAGAAATTTATTCGAAAAAATTGTGCAAGTACTAGTGTCTTTATGTGTTTAGACAATATTTAGGTTTATATTTTTGAATGTTTGATTTACGCACTTGTCTCTATATACATGTTTTATCCGAATATGTTATGTTTGTCTATTAGTGATTCTCTATATGTTTGTATGATAATGATATATGTGTTCATTAGATACAAATGTCCATAGAACTCAGTTAACACTAAACTCTTGAAGAGTTTGAAAAGGCTGAATATTATCGTAACTCATTATGGAGTTCGAATAACCTCAAAATTCATATAACTCCTGAAGAGTTTATCATAGTTATTGAGACTTCAAAATTAAAAAAGTTCAAAAAGTTTCTGAATTCAAAAGGTTGCTATTTGCCTGAAGCATGAAAAATGAAAGTTGAATTTGAGTAGAATCTCAGTCTAGTTTGACCGTAGTATGTTTATAATCAACTCCTGTTAGACACACTTAATTAAAATCTTGATGTGCATATTGATCCTTTTCTGACATTCTAATAAGAATGTAAACCGATTTGGTCTTGAAGTACCATATTGTAATAGTTATAAATTATCGGTTTATATATCAATTACTCAATACATCAAAATATTACAAACATTGATACCTTTGGGGTACAATTCTTATAGATCTCTATTATTATGAATCATTCAAGATTAAACATGGTAAGTGAAGATGATCATCTCCAAGGGAAGTTGAAGTATCTGTTTAGCAAATCTATCTGTTATGGATTTCAAAATTGGTGAAACTGGTCAGCATCTTAGCATGCGGCGAGAAGATTACAAGTGATGTACTCAACAGGGAAAGTAACCCCACGACGTACTCTTATTTCTTTGATCGAGGTTTTGTCCCAATGAATTTTTCTGACAAGGTTTTTAACGAGGCAACGTCATATTCGAGAATGTACTCTTTTTCTTTTATTAGATTTTTATCCCACCGAGTTTTTTCCAGTAAAGGTTTTAACGAGCCATTATCCCAAAGAGTTGACATCCAAGGGGAAGTGTTATAAATATTCAATGGTGTGGATGTCCACAAGTTAGAAGAGTTATATAAGGAATCAACTATTTAGAGATAATATTTAGTTAGCTAGTTCTTATCATTGTTTGATATTATTTTTGTATCTATTTTGTCTATAAATTGAAATTATTCTCCACACAATAACAAACAGATCTATTCTCTCTTTCTGTCTCTCTACTTGCTCTCTCTCTATTATTCTTTCTATATAATTCTTCATATTTATTTTACAACAGTATAAAAAAAAAAGACGCTAATTTTTTAATAACGTACTCTCTAGTTTTAATTATAACACACAATTGCTACTAAAATAGTTCAAATTTGTGCTTCATAATTAAAGCTAGAGGAAGTATTACTTTATATCATAACAGTAAAAAGTTAGATAAAGCTAGAGGAAGTATTACTTTATATCATAACAGTAAAAAGTTAGATAAAAAGCACTTGGGCAACGATTCTCAATTTTGTATTTTGATGGTGACTAAAACAATTTACTAAAGAATGGGGAAGAGATCATTTTCCTTTGAATGGAACACTACAACTCTACAACAGTACAACTTTTTATGTAAATGTTTTGAACATGTACATATCACTTGGTCTATTTTTAATTGAATCCTCAGGACTGACCAGCCTCTCTCAACTCTCAAGTCTCAACATTTTTGGTTGCAACCTTTTAGTGGCGTTACCACATAGGTTGGTTCCGTTTCATTTGCTCGAAAAAAAAAGAAAAAAAAAAACAGTCAGTAGTATTGCCGAAGGGAATGAAAAAGACGCTGCTTTTTGAAAAATATAGGATGTTCTCGAATGCGTAAGAAGGAATGTCACTGTTCTTAGGGCTTTTCTTTTGAAGAAAACCGCCTCGAACCGAACCGATCCGAACCGAATCATTATTTTGATTCAATTCAAAAATGGGTCAATTTTTTTTGGATCACAAATGATTTCGGTTCGGTTCGGATTAAGTTTTGGGTCTAAACCGAATTGACCCGAAATGAATCATTTTGCTAGTGATGATATCATCAAGAGTGACGATGATGTCATCACGCCGGAGACGGTTACCGACCGAAGGAAAAAATAAATTTCCGGCAAAGTCGTCGGAATTTTGGTCGGAAGTTGTTGCCGACGGCGACCCGCGGCGGTGGTCAAAGGTGGTAGCGGCGATCAACGACGACATTATTAAAATATAATTAATTATTTTTTGATTTTGAATTTTTTCGGTTCAATTTGAATATTTTTTTAATCGGAACCGATCCAAACCGTTCCAACTTTTAAAATCTTCAATCCGAACCGATCTAAATCGAAATTTAGAATTTCGGTTCAATTTCGGGTCGGTTCAGTTCGGATCATCGGGTCGATCCGAACCGCGGTTCAAAAAGACCAGCCCTTCTGTTCTATCTTTGAAAACAATATCAGTTCATAAGAAGGGTTATGTCTACACAATTATTGATTGATAACATTGCTCAGAAATTTGACACTTCCAGGCTTCCAAGCAAAAGAGCATCAAATATGCGCAACAACGGACATAGGTATCTAATACGGAGTGCCTTCACGAATTTGATTAAATAGGATGCTCAGAAATGAAACATTTTATCTGTCTATACACACTTCCAAAACATCGTAAATCACCCTGCTGAAACTAATGTGAACCTTTTGTACTTGTCACTTTCCTCTATCGGTAAACTAAATTAGAACTAAACTGTGGAGAAGAAAGCAAAGACGGTGCATGAGGTAGGATCTGTATACCACCATCAATCAATAATCACCAAAATCAAACTGCTTATATGTCGGTCAAGATTAATGATGACACAACTACAACATAAGCTAGAAAGAAGAAAATTGCTATCTGAATGAAGAACTTTGGGTTGTCCCTCATGTTTGGAGATGTTACCGCCCTGCCAAAAAAAAAAAAAAAAAAAAGGTGCAACACTTGTGTCAAACTACGATAGACAGGATAAAACAATGTGCAGATGAAGAAGCTTAGACGAGATCATACCGAGCAATGCGCTGGGACAGTCGATGGAAAGGCATACTTTGAATAAAAACTATTCCAGGGCCTGTGAGAACGGCTGTGACTAGATTGTCACCCTGCAGATACAAAATAATTTAGTCAGTACACAATTCCTCTTGTTTGTATGTCCAAAATATGAGTTCAAGATCCAATCAATGTTGCAAGCAAACGCGCAAGTTTTGTTGTGGTTAAAATAAAACAAATCGATATGGCTCCTCCCACGTAATTGATATGGCTCCTCCCACGTAACGCGCAAGTAATAGTCAAGTCTCAACAAACATGACAGTGGAATATGGCAATAAGCAATCACATACTGCAGAGAAGCTTGACACGAAGATAGCTGCCTGTTAAAAGGATAAGAACTGAAAAGAAACGTACCCCAAATACAACTTTTCTGACAGGACCATTATATTTGACTTGGACATTTATCGTAGATGACAATGCAACAATGCTTGGCATGTCAACAGTAAGTACTTCTCCCACTTCAAGATTCTTCTGTACAACTAGGAAAACCAAAGTACAAAAAGTAAGGTATAAGGTTGTGTGGAATCTGACATGCATAAATAATCAAACAGAGAAGTTAGTAACTGAGAAGGGATACGGTTCTTTCTTAGGCCTGATGGTACAAACACCAACAAGGCTACAGAATCATTAGATTTGGAGTAATTTCAAAAGGGGTCTCAAGCCCAAAAGACGAATTTCTATTCTTTTGGAAGGTATGGGGGCATACAATTCTTAGGTGTTCCTTCAGACAGTAGTTAAGCTGATCCAATATTAACTTCATTGTAAACATCTTCATATCCAACACGATGTGAACTTTCATGTGCATTGGCATAAGACCTAATCGGCTGGGGCATCATATAGCCTTTCAATAAAAAAGGCAGGGGCAGAATTCAAACCATCTTTATGCTTGCGGATGATAAAACACCAAGAATTCTAAGCAAGATCCTTTCGGATGGAAAAGCATCACTGAAAATTTCTGATATCAAGTTCATTAAGCAATTGAATTTGCCTTTCCTCAAAAGTTAGGTGTAAAAAGTATCACGCAAAGATTTCACCACTAGAACCAACATGGTATATCCTAATACAACGGCAAAGGCATCTAAAGCTAACAAAATTAAACCATAAACTTCAAAAGCTAACATAATTAAACCATAAACTTCAAGCCAATTCAGTCCTTTTTTACATCTATCGACAAGAAACACCACGCAATTCCACAAGAAGTTTGAAATGAGACAGTGAAAGAATTTCAGTAGCATACCAGAACCACCACCCACAACAAATGCAAGCCCTTGGCCTGATATTTTCTGCCTCAAGAACCCCTGGGTGCCAGATAGTAAACGAGATTAGAAATTTCATCTATGATGGCCTGGTTAGCTGGAGCAAAATCAGCCCAAAAAGAAAAACTAATGTTATATCTTTACCTCCACACTGGCGACAATGTTGCGAGGTCTTTGATCCAAGGTATTGTTAACTTTTACATCACTTATCGAACAGAGAAATGCATCTGGCTACAATGACAACAAAGCCATCTAACTCAATCCATTCAAATGAAGAAAATAAACATATAAACTTACTTGCGCATTAAAAGGTGAATTTGGACAATGTATCAGCAAGATGTTCATAAAGTTATCGAACTGTTTATACCTGGCATAGCATTTCACCACCAAATATAGCTAGATCAATCTGCAAAACAAATCAATCAAAAACATAAAGTTGACACCACGACTTTGTTCATTCAGTGCAGAGCCATAAATCATAAGCCACTTGCAAAAAGAACCAACAATCAAAAGGTGTAAGGAAACATTTAGATAGAAGTAAGAGATACTGATGCTAACCGGGAGAATTCTTGCTAATGATGGTGCAGCAATTCCTACAAATCCATCAGTTGAACCAGTATTATGTAGAACTACACTGGTCACCGTCTTCCCAAAAAGCCACTGCCATACACCAGCTTCATTTTCAGGAGCATAAATATTGTCCATTTGGACAGATCCAGACATGTAGCACATAGAACCTGAAAACATGCCAGCAGTCATTTTCTGACTGTAATTGTTGAACCAAAAAGCCACATACGAGCTTACATTCCTCCCCAAAACAATAACACCATAATTGTGGACATGAATAACTATGAGACATGCACATCAAAATTCAACAATATCATCTGCATAAACCCTCAAGGACTACCCAAAAAAAAAAAAAAAAAAACTCAAGGACTATTGATACTGCTAACTAGATCTGACAACAACATGTTATGCCCAATAATGGGTTGGCTACTTGTAAATTTGACGCAGAACCCACCTATAAACATTACAATGTGCATATTTAAATACTTTTATCAGTGGAAAGCATCATAATTGGATTTGAAAACAACATATCCTACCATCACATGGCAAGACATATATATAAGGTTGATTACTAGTAAAAATAGTTAATACTTACACTCATGATTACTTACCAGGCTTTGCTGCAATTCTTTCTCCAGGCTTCAGCATAATCTACAAGCCATGTGAATACCCAAAAAAAGTTCAACTCAATCCCAGTTTGTGCATTAAAATAAAAAACAATAAGCATACGCAAGATATAGATTCCCCTGCTGGCGAAACACTCCCCCAAAAAAAAAAAAACCCACCCACCCGCCCACCCACACATACACGAACAAAAGAACAAATTGAAGCAGTAACAAAGTACCTGAACTATTTGAGCTTCACCTCCTAAAATCTGAAAAGGAGTTACAGCATCTTGGGGACTCTGCAAAATAAGTACTGATCAGTTCAACCAAAAAATTTTAATTTTATCAAAGAAGCCAGGTTTTATTTTTCAATAGATTTTGAGATTGGACTAGAACGGAAAGGGTAAATGTACTAAACTCTGCAGTGATTTTCCATACACTATTGACACTTCCAATTAGATTGATCTTCCTTCTGAATTCTGATAGTTTCTAAAGTAACCAAGGCAGCTTCACTTTCTATAGAACTATAATTAGAATCACCACTTCTCAATTCGAATATCCAAACAAAGTCCCTCAAAAGAGCTTCATTAAATCATGTAAATGTAACATCCCAATCATTACAAGGTGCAAAAGACAAGCTAAAAACTAACAACTAACCTACAGTTAATTCCATCATATGAATTTCCCCAAAAGAACATACTTATAAACCTTAAAAAAGTCCTAAATTAACACACAGTTCCTAACCTTATACTCAAATTAAAACCCATCTCAATTTTAAATTTTCTTAACATAAACTTCTGAGTTTAGACAGCATTCCTTGACTCTAGGCCAGCAAACACAAAGCATATTCAGTCATAGTTTAAAGTAACTAACTAAAAATTAAAATCCGAAAAATAAGAAGAAAAAAAAAGAAATCCCAGATATTTCCACGCGTTAAGTACCTGATAGACAAAAGGCTGAAAAGGCGTTGAAAAGAATGGGGCAGCCATGGCGACAGACTGTAATTATCTTACAAAAAAAATGGGGGAACGGCGATCGAAGAACAGCACAGCATTCAAGACACCATTTGAGTGCCAAAGAAGAAGATCAGAAGCTCGGAATTTCAGATCGCACAACTCCGTTGGTTCCAATTTCGCATCAAAACTTTCTCATGGTCTTGTTTTTCTTGGATTTGTTTCTTTTCTGCAGCCCCCCCTAGGACTAATTTCTTTTTTTCTCTTTAAATTTTTTTTTTTTTTTACTACGGGTTTAAGCGCCTGTTTTTCGAGTATACCGACGTCAAATAAAATGATGTGTCAAAATTCTACTGGGTTAGAATTTTCATGCGTGGCATACTTGTTCCATAACATGGACTTTTGGTTTAAGTGTGGACTTTGTAAAACTTTGATTCTTTTTGGGCTTTTTAACGGGTTAAGGACTGGAATCGGATCTCAGCTCAACTTCTTTAAATTGGGCTATAAATTGTGAACTTGATTTTTTTTTTCTTGTCATTATGTTTTGAGTAAAGCCCCGTATACTTTTTTTTTTGAAGCCCCGTCTACTGATGAAACTGCAAATCTGCGCTTCTTTTTTCTTTTTCTTTTTTTTTTAAGAGGCAAATCTGTACATCGAGATGAAATTGTTTGCACCATCCAAAATGATTACTTGATTGTTAGTTCACAACTTCACATTATTTTTGATATTTTTCATATTTTTAGTACTCTTTCCGTTTTAAAATTATTGTCCAGTTTGAGATTTCACTTTTAATATAATTTACACTAAAAATGAAAACTCAGACGATAATTATGGGATGGAGGGAATATAAATTTAAAAAATCATTTTGGGTTAATATCAAAAACACCCCCGAGGTTTGATCCATTATCAAAAACATCCCTCCACTTCCTTAAGAATATCAAAATCATCCCTTGACAGGTGAAACTTCACAATCAAAACGATAAGAGTAGCTTTTACCACCGGACATGAAGAGTGAAGACATCCAAAGTCCTCAAAGTACTTTTTACTCTTTAGTTTCTTAAAACCTTTTGGCAATGTTTTTTTGGTACTCTCAGAACTCCCATTCTATTGCCAAAGAGGATTATTCTGGTTCTCTTGACTTTTTCCATGTTACTACTGTTGTCGACTTTGGGGATTAACATTCAGCGAAGATTATTTAGTATCACTATCAAATTATCTTTATTTCTCCGATCTCCTTCATCATCATAACCATCAAATCTGTCTTGCTTCCTCCAAGATATCCTCCGATTTTGATTGCAGTGGTGATAGATAACGCCTGTAGAGGAAGCTAGCAACAAAAAATTTGGATCTAGCGTAGTTTGGTGGTGGGTAGTGGGTGATGGGATTGGCCGGCGGCATCGGGGAGCACCGCGTTAGATTTCTTTCCGGGTTTAGATGTTGACCATTGATTGTGGCAATTCTTACGGGTTATTATAAGGGATTCTTTGATTCCGGATGCTTATGTTTTCTAAATAAATTGGGATTAGATTTGTTTCAGGCAATTGTGGTGCGGGATACTTTTTATTTTATTAATCTGGGTTGCTTTCTCCTATTAATTCTTTGAGAACTGGGGTTGCTGTAGTTGGAGAATGGGCATTAATCCGAAGCCAAAAGATATTGCTGTTCGTAGATGTTGGCTGACGAGGAAGCAAAAAGGTTGCATTTCCTTTATATGTTAGCCAAAATTGTTACCTTTTTATTGCTTAAGAAACCTGGTTAGCTTTATTTGGGGTTGCTAAGAATTTGTTTGTGGCACTTAATTGCTATGCTTAGTTTTTGAGTTATGCAAACAATTATATGCAGATCTTCGTGCCCACTTCTTGTCTTTCACATTTCCTACATTTTGATAGACGCAAAACCGTAGTTATTCCATGATTCTAGTTTATAAATAAAAAATAAAAAACGGTTCAACTGCGATGTTACTCGGTGGTGTTAAAATGACGCAAAACCGTAGTTCTTCACATTTCCTACATTTTGATACGTCTCCTCGACAATTTTTTTTGCTGATGTCATATAGCTACATCCGCTTTCCGATGCGGGAGGGCTCATTTGATAGTTGACCGACCGGTCAAGTAATAATTTTGATATTCTTAAAGAAGTGGGGGATGTTTTTGATAATGGATCAAACCTCGGGGGTGTCTTTGATATTAACCCATTCAATTTTGTTAGATAAAAGGAGTACCTTAACAGTGACTAATCCCTCGCTCATGGTAAGCACCTCGATGGATAGGAGAGCTGTCTAAAAGATTTAAGGTTATTATATGTCTATAATAAGGTTCGAACCTTCGACCTATGGTAAAGGGTGGAAGTGAAAGAGTCTCTTGAAGGCCCACATGTGATTTCAACTCAAAGCCAATTTGCAATGGGGGGAATAGCATATGGGGTATATATGTTGATCAAGGTGGGTTCCCAAAACCAATGTGGGACAAGTGTCTTTCACTTGTTTTTCAAGTTCAAAAGGGATTTTAACACCCCTCTCTCAAGCCCAAAGGGGTTGGACAAGGCCCCTTTCTCACAATTTTGATTTTTGAGATTTTTCATATTTTAGTATAAATTTTTTTTTAAAAAAAAATTTAGATAAAAGGAGTATTTTTTTTTTTGTGTGTGCATATTACAGGGTGTCCACCGTCTACAACAGTGACTAATAGACACCTCGATGAGTGGGAGAGCTAGCCAAAGGATTTAAGGTTGCTCCATGCCCGTGGTGAGGTTCAAATTCTCGACCTATGGTTAAGGGTGGAAGAGTCCTTACTACTCCACCACAAACCCCTTTAGTTGTACCTTTTTTAGTTTAATAAATTATGAAATTATTTTGAGAAACGGGCTTCAAGTCATTGCATGAGAAACGGGCTCCATTATCCATACCACAACGTGTTCACAATTCTGTTAGTAATTAAATGTGGATTCTTAATTCTTTATGTAAATCAAATTGTATTTCTACCAACAACAGAAATATATGTGGGATACAGTCACTAAACAAAAGGTCTTTATCCAAATTTAATACGGTCTTTGCTAACATATTGACGGTAAGATTGTTTTCCGGAGAGGCATGACAAACATGAAACTCCCTACCCCCGAGACTAAAAAACCATGATTTCATTAAGTACCACATCCGTTCGAACTTCGGAATCGAAACTCAAGTTTTTCTCACTATTTTGTATAGAGCCCGTCTCAAAAATAACTTTTCAGAGACTCAATTGTGTAACGATTCTCATATCCTGAATTGCATTGCTTTGAGAAAAATGGAGAAAAAAATCAGACAAGTTCTGACACTATAGATTTCTAGGCAATTTGAGAGAAGTTGATGAGGTCAATCGAGATGATCTTTAAATTTTTGTAGACTTATATGCATCGAAAGAAAGAGTTTGGACTACTATTGTTTATCGTCTTGAATATGAAGACAACAAGTTTGAGGACCAGCTTGATAAAAAATCACGGTGATCAAGTTAAGAAAATGTAACTTTGTTTAAATTTTTCTCTTGATTCGAGACAAATTGAGAACTCAACTTATTTTTCTCGTTGACATAGACATAAACATTGAGTTAATAAACCTAGGAGTTGGCAACTCTCAAACTTCTTTCTTTTTTTTTTCTCTTTGTTTTCTTTCATTATTTGTTTTCTCGAGATCATGAACCCGACTCCAAAGGTGACGAAAATCCTTTGTTTTCGTTTATTTTGCTTTGTTGACGGAGCATCGAGATAATGTGCTTGATATATAAGTCGACGAACAAAGTTTGTGAACGAATTCAATAGGATAAGTCCAATGAGATGTCCTTTAAAGAAAGAATTATAATCATTTAGGGTGTGTTTGCTTGATGGATTTTAGAATAGGGAAATGGAATAATTTTAACTTCTAATGTTTGATTGACCGGTTTTAAATTGGCACGAAATAATTGATGACCAATTATTTAAGAATTTTTTAAACCTACCAAGAGGTCGGGTTTTAATCTGATTCCTATTTTGCAATTCTTTTGTCTTCAATTCTTTGTTTTCTAATGGTATTATATTATATCTAACTTTATTATTACATCATGAAAATATATTTTTTTCTCAATTATAAACTCAATCTTTTTATTGAAATTTTTTTAGTCAAATTTAAATTACGAACATCATTAAATAAAAATTTAAATAACATATGATTCGAATTGAGATTGAAATCTAGAATTTGCGTACTGCATTAAATTTATATTGAAATGAGAGCAATTGGGACTTTATCAAACAAATTCACTTCTTCAGAAAAAAAATATTTTATCCAAAGCATTCAAATTGATTTAATAAAAAGATTTATCAAATTTTTAAAATTAGTAGTTAAATTTGTGTACATTTAATTCAACAAATTAAATGCAAAAAAAAAATACTTAAATTAAATTATAAACCAAACAACTGTTTTGGAATGAGTATACCGATAGTAATCCTTTCCTGTTATTATACCTAATCAATAATAAAACTCATTAACAAACCAAACGCCCTTAGTCTCGTATTGAAAGGAATCAATCACAATATCAATTCGGCGGCAATGAGTCTGGATTCATAATTCGGTTTTGTTATGTTTGGAGGAAATACTTCGTCTTAATTTTCGGTTATTGATAACTACTTCGATCTGCTTCTATTTCTACTGAAAATTTTTGATGTATCTTCAAACCACAACAGATACATAGTCCAAAATGTGACTTTACATCATGCAAAGTGCAAACAAGGTTTTTTTTTTTTTTTTTTTTTGGTTTTTTCTTTTCGTCCCCGTGTATATCTGTGCTCTACATGTTCATCACTTAATTATAAAAATTAAAGAAATTTGTCAAATTGCAAAACTGCACCGAATAATTTATCGTATCAAGCAGCATGCTATGCGATCCGTCGACTTATAGACACCCTCTTTAACTGACATATAAAAAAGCAATACTTTTAAAACCACTACGATCGAACCCATTTGACTAATTATAATATATGGATGAATAAACCCGTTCAATGGATTTTTCAATAGAAACAGGTGCAAGATTTTAATTAAAGACGACGTATAGTATAACTAATCACTATTTTTTAAAGTGGATAATATAAATAATTACACGACTCTAATTAAACTTCTATTTTCTTTCTCGTTATAACATGTTGGCATTGGTAACGCATGCATGCAATGACGTCGCCTTCATAAGAAAAAGTAGTCAACCTTAACCACAAAAAAAAAAATTTGATTAGTCATTTTCCAAACTAAGAAACTATAAAACAGCTAAGATGAGTATCTAATTTAAACCCCCCATATGCGATTTAACGTTTCAGTTAAAAGGTTTATTATTAATGAAACGATGTAATTTTAGTACTTTGTTTGATACGTATGCGAGAACTTTCATCCCCCCGACAAAAACATTTTGAATCTTACTGGTATGCGACGAATTTAATATGACAGAACTAATCAACACGTATAATAATAAGTTTGATAGTAAATTGTGTAGGTTTTCTAAGGAAATTTACCAGGAAAGATTGTAAGAATGTGAGGTCTTGAGAAATCCCAATCTATCAAAGAATGCTTTCATTTTCATCATCACCATCTCATTATATATCAGAAGATATAAAAGGAAACAGACAGTTTGGAAAAAATTAAGATGACAGCCTGTAATATCAAATTTTTTTTTTTCATATTGTGTACTCCCTCCGTCCCATAATTATTATCCAGTTTGTGTGTTTATTTCTAGTTCAAATTATACTAAAACTGAAATCTCAAACTGCACAGTAATTTTAGGAGGAGTATCTCGTTTTCTTCTTTCTTCTTCTTTTTCTTTTTTTTTTCTCTTCATATCGCAATGTATTTACTATCGAAACAATAATGATTAATCTCATTCGCTAATTGTGCTCATATTAATGGGATTTAGTTCATATTCAACTTAGAAAAAAAGGAAAATTAATTCGAGGGGAAAAAAAAATGAACATAGCAATGTAGTCAAAATGTCTCTACAGAACAAATTTCCAAAAACAAATAGTAGCACACAAAAATGGAAACCTGTAGCCATCGTACCTTCCGTGTCTCACAACTCAACTCATCAACCTCTCTCTTTTTTCTTTTTTTTTTCACATTTCCCTCCACCTTCCATTCTTCTTCCCCGTTATTCTTTTGATCATTTCAATATCCTTTGATCCCTTTTTCCGATTTCCCTCTTCCAGAATTCCCATGAGTCCCATCATGGTATGTATAATTCAGTCTGATCATGATCGTTTTCACAATCACATGATGAATTCACATATATATATATATACATATATGACGCATCTCTGCATGCGACCCTGTTTTATTCATTCTATATTCGTCTTATTTTGCTTTTCTTAATCATTGATTCTTGAAGGGGTTTTTTTATTGACTTATAAAACGATGAAGATATGTTTAGCTTTTGTTTGTTTTCTTTTACTTTTTATTTTCTCTTCGTTCAGCTCTGTTTCGTGGCGGTTTTACAAGGATTTTGACTTGGTATGTCAGCTAACAGAGCTCTCTGTAATTTTGACCCATGATTTGGAAAGTTTTCGGGTGGTCTCGTTTCTTTTTGTTTGTGTCTTTTACATGTTGTAAAGTGATACTGAATTCTTTTGTCCCTAATAAGATTAATATAAAGTTTAAGGAGGGGAATTTTACGTTTGCTGGCTTAGATAAGATTGATTAGTACTAGTATTTAATAAAGGAGGGCATCCATATTTCATTCTGTATTCATTTCTTAGTCACTTATGGAACAATATCTTGCTGAATACTCTGCTTTGCAGTAGTAATAATTGTTACTACCATTTGCTAATGGAAAGTAGTCTCTTTTTCAGTTATTTACATGGAAAATCCCAGTTAATATTTTGCATAATTAGGTTGATGGTGCATTTGTGGAATAGGAATTGTTGAATCTGTAATTGTACGGTCCAACATAATCAGCTGATGGTATTAGGTATGGGGGGTTTGATAAAGCTATGGCTATTGAGTATTTGAGTTGATTCATCATTAGTATTTTTAAGTGGAGGAGACGTGTGTTTTGGGTTTGTTCTTATTTCAGTGAAGAAGTTAGGAATGTCTCTTTCTCATCATTGAAGTTCCACTAACTGTTTCTTATTTTTGTTACCTTTTTTTTGTTTTTTTGGCCTGTATATAGAACCCAGTTGGTCATTTTCATTTTAGGCTGCATAATCATAGGTGTTAGGAAATAAAAAAGTCAACTTCAGAAAATGAAGAAAGAAATCCAGGAAACTGGGATTTGAATAGTGTTCATTTGGCTGTAGAAGCTACCTTGTTTTTATTTCAACAACTGGTATGCAGAAGTTTATCCTGCCCTACTCAATGTATTCGACAACGAATTTTAATGCATTTTGAGCTCGTTCTGAGCATCAAGATTATTACTGTTGTCAGGACTATTCGTTCATCATCGAGTTAGTCCCAGTTCATGATCTGTTTTCGCTTTAAATTCCTTTGTTTGATTGAGCTATCGGGTGCTTGCTTCTGTTTCATTTTTCACATTTAGCTGTCTTTGAGGTTGCATGATGAGATAACTGAACTCCCACTTCTTAACTTAGGCACACTGGCACTGTTGCAGATAATGGACTGCTAGTCTGGAATGGCTTTGTTCAGATGTCTGTTAAAATGGGATTTTGAAATTTTCACCTGTTAGTCCATTCCATTTTGCAAAGATTGATCTTTGTAGTTCGAGTGGATGGTTCCACTCGAAGATGAGATGACTAAGTTATGGCGGCAGATCACAGTTATCCTCTTGTTCAGGGTAGATTGGAGAAAATTGTTGTTATTTAGTTCATTGCTCACCATAGTAAGTTTTGTTGTTCAAATTTCTAGGCTTCCTTATCCACTGAGAGAATTAGTCTTTCCTTCCTCGGCCATTACAACTTCAACCTACAAAAACATTAATCGGGTAACGAGTGAGAATACTCATTCTGCACCTGGTGTCCACTTAGCCACTCTTCAGATCACCCCTGTAAATATTTCTCAAAACTTTTCAGCCAAAACCAATCAGACAGAAGTTAAGGTAGACAATGTAGTTTCTTCAAGAAGTAGGCAAATAAATAGAACTGTTGCTTCTCCTAGAAGACGAAGAAGAGGAAGACGACGCAGGAAGCAGGAAGAAGTGGATGAAATAACAACTCCACCAGCACCTCCTTCATATGCTAACATGTCCAAAGAAGTTCTTGTAAGTTCTCAAATAAATGACTGCAGATAATTCCTTATTTGCAGCTGAAATCTTATGCTCCGACAACCATACTTTCATTTCTGCAGAGACGTATATGGTCATTGACACCACATGAGGCGCTCTTGTACGCGAAAAGAGAAATTGAAAATGCTCCACTAGTTCAGGATGATCCGGATTTGTATGCGCCTTTATTCCACAATGTATCTACTTTCAAGAGGTAAGTGAATGATACTTTCTCCTTTGCGTTACAAGAGTGAGCCTCGTGGAGTTTGACTTTTTCAGGTCTTAACTTGAATATAGCATTCTCTTTGATCATTTAGTTGGTTCAACTAGTCATAAAGAATCAAATATTAGAGATTGAAATGTTAGATTTGTCTTATATTTCAATCCTTCATAGAAGATCTATGATGACAGAAACCTTGTGAGTGGTAACTTATTCTGGCCTTTTCACTTATATGCTGTCTCAGATGATAGCATTCTTTTATTTTTATTTTTTTCTTAAAACAAATGAACACTTTCTTCGAGTGCAAGACTCCTGGTTGTAGTTTGTTTAAAATTTTCGATACATCCAGTTAGAAAAGATTTGCATGGAATCTGGCTTGATCTGCGCAGCATACCTTGTGAATGATTGCAGTTACTTCACATAAACATTTTTTAAATCCAAGGTGGTTGAACATTGTAGGAGCTACGAGATGATGGAGCTCATACTTAAGGTATACATCTACAAAGAAGGTGAAAGACCTATTTTCCATCAACCTCATTTGCAAGGAATCTATTCATCAGAAGGGTGGTTTTTAAGGTTGATGGAGGAAAATAAACAGTTTGTTGCAAGGGATCCAGAAAAAGCTCACTTATTCTACCTTCCATATAGTGCTCGGCAATTGCAGCTGGCTCTTTATGTTCCTAATTCCCACAATATTAGACCACTGTCAATCTTTCTAAGGGACTATGTGAACATGATAGCTTCAAAGTATCCTTTCTGGAACCGGTCTCAAGGATCAGATCATTTTCTTGTAGCTTGCCATGACTGGGTAAGAAAGTACTATGCATATTTTTGTGTCAAATATTCCCTTCTTTACATGTCAAATATTTTTAGCAAGTTTTCAGTAAATTCTTCACATGATCTGGAGTTGCTGATAAGTCCATATACTTTAACTTCTGGCATTAGTCCCTTGGTTATTTGTATATGCCTCACGAAACTAGTACAACAGAATTTTGTATCAAAGTTCTTAGATCTGATTAGGAGAAATGTCAATGAATGCAAGCAGATAAATTACAATCTATATGTACATCTTAGTAGTTACTGTTGTCCATGTTTTTGTTGATTCCGTTATAGTTGCAGTTGCCTATACTCGGATAAAAAACAGAATGCTTTCTAGCAAATCAAGGTCATTAGTTACTCAATTCTTTGTGTTTTTGATAGTGTGCCTTTTGTCGTCATTTGTTGGTTCATGCTGCTGCACGTCTTGCACTTTGACATTATGTACTGTAATTGGTTTCAGTAATTGGTTATCATGTTAATTGTCTTTGAATGTTCCAGGGTCCTTATACTTTAAATGAACACCAAGAGCTCAGAAGCAACACTATAAAAGTGCTCTGTAATGCAGACATCTCTGAGAAAGTCTTCATTCCAGGGAAGGATGTTTCTCTTCCAGAAACCACCATAAGAAACCCCAGGAGGCCTCTGAGGAACATCGGTGGAAAAAGAGTGTCGCAGCGCCCAATCCTCGCCTTCTTTGCTGGAAACATGCATGGAAGGGTTCGTCCAACGCTTCTCAAGTACTGGGGAGACAAAGACGACGACATGAGGATTTACGGTCCTCTACCTAATAGAGTTTCAAAAGTAATGTCTTATCCAGATCACATGAAGTCAAGCAAATATTGCCTTTGCCCCATGGGTTATGAAGTAAATAGCCCAAGAATTGTCGAGTCCATCTACTATGAGTGTGTTCCGGTGATCATAGCTGATAATTTTGCACTTCCGTTCAGTGAAGTGCTTAACTGGAGTGCATTTTCTGTCACGGTTGCTGAGAAGGATATTCCCAGATTGAAGGAGATTCTTTTAGCTATACCTCTGAAGAAGTATCTCATAATGCAAACCAATGTGAAGAAGTTGCAAAAGCATTTCCATTGGCACTTCAAACCTGTTAGATATGATCTGTTTCATATGATACTGCATTCAGTATGGTTAAGTAGGTTGAACCAGGTCTCGATAAATGAGTCAACACAATAGATATACTCGCTTTGTTGTTGTATGTTTCCGATTCTGTAAGTAGCTGGTTTTCCGTTTATCTGATAGGTCTTTTGTAAAAAAGAGTAAAATCTGTACAGAAGTAGGAGTAGTTTTTTGGGGGGCATTCAATTCTGTGATTGTAAAGAAAGGAAAAATTCACCTGCTATACCATACACTTCAAAATCGGCAGGCATGTTCGGTGTAGGTTACTAGATCAAGGAGACCTTTTTTGTACTTTTCTGTCTCAAAATAAGAGTATTTCTGTTTGTTATTTTGGAAAGATGCCTTACAAAAATGCGTAGCGAAAGAGGTGAGAAGCTCAAATGCCCATAAGAGGCGAAGCGTAAAATAAGAATGACCAAACAAATAGCGATTTTCATTTTCCTCAGGTATAAAAGGGCCAAAAAAGCAGTATCAAAATAACGACTGCTTGGGAAGTCTTCGCAGCTGCACAGATATCGCATTCTAATTACAACACCACAGACAAGAGTTTGCTGAAAATTTCTACGGAATTCACTACTACATTTGTATTTTTCATTCTCTATATTGTACCAGCTTCCTCTTATGTACACATATTCGCCTATGAAAAAGCTTTTCGCAACATGTTAAATGCGGTGAAAACGAGCAACACCGCCACGACCTTCTTCGAAGCAAATATCCGAAGATTAACCTTCACACCATGCTTTCGCATAAGCACCACCATTGCATTAAACAGAGCAACAAACCAGGAAAACAAAGAAGAGCAAATCATTTTCATGGCATCTGTTGGTCCAGTAACATTTCCTGCATCCCTTGACAAGTACACATAAGACCAAACAGGACCTTCGTTGCTGCTGTTTGGCTGGTTTAGGCCAAGATGTTCATTCAGCCAAGATGATACGTAGATGAGAAGGTTTACAAGCCATGCAATTTCATCATCTGAGGTTGGCCGCTTCATCCACTCACCCTTGTATTTGGTTTTAGCCACCATGTGATTGGTGAAGCTCCTAGGTCGAAATACCTCATCACGAGTTTGATGAGATGGTTTTTTGTCTGACTTGCTAGATGAAAAGTCTAGAATGTGACCACCAAATAAGGAGCCCACCTGGGCCTTGAGAGAATCTAGACATTTGCTGCTTTGTACTAGACTATCTCCAGATAAAGATTGCAACTCAGACTCCGCCCTCAACAGAAAGAGCTGCAATAAGTAGCACAACTAAGTTCCCGAAGCAGATGAATGCAAGAATGATAAGTAACCAGCAGAACAAGTACCTTAAGCAACTGCTGCCCACCATCATCATCTTCACTAAACAGCCGTAGATCTTTGTTCCAATTATCATGTAAAAATGACCCATCAGCATTACTCTCACAAAGGCCACTCTCCCAGTCCTAGCAGGGGAAAAAAATTTAAACAGGGAAAACGGAAAGTAACCTACCCACCAGAGATAATCAATGACTACCAAAAACGTGTCTACATTGCAGAGTTTTAACAAATGGAAGAAAATCTCAGGACACTTAACTAACCAAAAGGGGGAAAATTTATAACTAGAAGATAAGCCTTCAAATGCCAATTTGACATGATAACCTTCAAAATGTCATTCATATATCTCTACAGACAAGATGCATTAGACGACACCTGGGATGACTTGGATGGCTTATAAACTAGGTAAAGAAGATAATTACGTGGTTCGGACCATAAATTACGACAGTCAAATAAATAAGAGCAATCTACCGTCTTTTTCCAACAGAAGCCATCAACAAATACACCAAACTTGTCATCAAGTAACAAGGGCAGGAAAATAGTCAAGGGTGGGGGGGAAGGGGGAGAGAGGGGGTTGTGGTGGAGGGGATTGTTAACATGCAATCCCAGAATCTCACTCAGAAGCTGTACCGTATACACGTAAAACATGCAACACTGAGAATAAGGGATGGGGTCAGAAAAGTTGAGGCTCACGAGAGTCAAGGAAGGAAGTTCTTGGTAAATGGGATCTACTTACTGGACATTAACTGCTAATACGTAGTGCCACTTTTTAGAGTAAATTGTCCCTTACACAAAGATAAAGAGAATACTACTGGAAGCTAATTACTTTTTCACGCATAGCACAGGGTATCACTCACGAGGATAACAAAGAAGAGAAAAATTACCTGCAAATGTTCACGGATTACTGGAACAAACTTGTGCAAGGCATTAAGCTTTGATTTCGATGATCCTGTATGTTTTGAATGATAAACAGTATCCATATTCTTGAGCAGACCAACAAGCTCTGGTGACATCGTAAGAATGCTTATCACCTATATGCAGAATCAAGGTGTGTAAATTAGAGTGGGAAAACAAAACCAACCGCGAGATGAAAGTGTCCACTCTACCAGATAACCCAGCACTAGATGTTTCTTGACATAAAGTACAAAAGGCTATGCACCAACTCCTATAGTTAAAATAAGGACTTCATATTTGATCAATATGCAGTTCCCTAGTATTATGACTTAAACTCATCCAGGTACCTAATAGTGCTTCTCTTATAAAGGAAAGTTACTAGAAACAAGGCAATGAAAACAATTGGGAAAAGGCACTGACACCAACCTTTGAAACCATCTTTATTATAACTTCTGGATCTGTAAGAAGAAATTTATGCGCAAATCCCAAGAAATGCATGACCAGAGAGCTGTAGTAGAGGTAATTGGCAAGCACATAACTTTGCCAAGAAGGTGAGTAACCTGGTGACTCCCCTGCTGTATTTTCATCAGGTCTCCCCATTTTAGGATCGAGGTCTGCAAATTCTTGCAAGCTAATATTCCAGGGTTCAATGTAGTTAACCCAGACAGAGAATACTTGATACACATTTTTCACAGAACTTTGAACTGGGCAAAACAGAAATGTTCTTAGTATGAATCTGTATAAAGGCCTCTGAATCCATGTGTTCCAAGAGTATTTTCCTAAAGCAGCTTCCCTAAGATCTATAGAATCAGCTGAACCGAAAAACTCTCTCTGAGGGCTTCCATTAAATTCAACTTTGTCATGCTCCTCTCTACAGGCAACTGAGCCAAGTACCACATACCTAACAAACACATTAATCACCTCGCCCAATCCAGAAGTAGGTGGAGTTTCACCAAAAAGAGACCGGAAAGGCAGATTGATACCCAATGATTTGCACATACTCACAGGTACAGGTGAAAAATCATTGTCAACCAGCCAGAAGTTTATCAAGGAATTAATGAAAAACTCCGCTCTTTCCAGAACTGAGCTATCATATCCCCATGAATGATGGAGTAGAGAACTACGATAAGGTTGATGAGCATTTAAATCATGCATGGGTAGAAATGCCCGAAGGTAAGCATAAAGGAGACGGATGTACAAATTTCCTTCATTTTTCTGCTCCTTTCCCTGCTTACTACTGTATAAACCTGGTAGCGTAGAAGCCCAATTTTCTAACCGAGATTTTCTACTTCTCTGAACCCTTGAAGTGTCTAAACCCTCAGTATTACCTCTGCAGACAGGATAATAGACAAACCAAAACAAGAAATACTCAAAAACATTCAACTGAACCTGAAAACATGAACCCTTAGGTGAATCCTCTGTGATCCGGTTCTTCAATAATGGACACATATCCACCAGAACCCCGTAGTCTCTCTTGTTTTGAATCATATAGCGTATCCATTCAGGTAATCTCTCAACTGGAAACACATATTTAATAAGAGAAAGCTTATCAACAGCTGAAATTGAAGATAGCAACACTCCACCCGGCGTCAGCAGGTTGAATATTTTGCCTGCAATGAAGAAAGCGTAAGGGCATTGGTCAAAGTGCAGATTGCATTTTCAGAAGTATAGCACGGCCAAAGCACTAAATTCATGCAAAGTAAAAGTCCAATCGACATCAACGGATTTATCCGAGTCTCTCCCCCAAAATTCATGCAAAGTAAAAGTCCAATCAACATCGACAGATTATTCCTAGTCCCTCCCGGGAAAAACAGTAAAAGAAGGAAGAAGCACAAGGATGCATTGAAGACCTAAAATTCATGAAATGAAAAATTAAAGAATTAGTTACACAGACATAATAACATTTCCCTCAAGTAAGAAATATCTTAACTACAGATTTAACCTACACAAACATGCAAAATTCCAGAATCGAAAACCTAAAAAACGTCTCCAGTAATCAAAGGCGGAGCTAAAGAATATACAAAATAAAAATAAAAAAAGGTAAACAAGACTCTAACCAGCGAGCTCAGTATCCCCGGATTGGATAGCAACATCGACCCAACCGTTCGGTGCCTGCAACTTGGGAGCTGATGAGGACTCATCGAAGCCAAATATCCGACAAATTAGGGTTGGAAAAGTGATGGAGAAGAACCATCGCTGCTGGTCTGGCGTGTGCTTTTGCAAGAAATCCTCCACCGCGGCGCACGCGGCGGCTATTTGCGGCGGAGAAGACGCCGCCACCAGGATCTTCGTAGCCAGCTCCGTGGCCTTCGACTGGGCATCCGAACCGAACGAATGCACAATCATCTCTAATTTCTGCTCCGCCTCTTAGTTCTGTTCGTTAGGGCATAAACCGAGCGGGGAGTTCGCCAAGCTGTGAGCAAAAGTGAGAAAAGGAGCAAGCGAGAAGCTATCAGTGTGTGACAGTGTGAAAGAGAATCGATTAGGGCAGAAATGATTAGGCGGCGATGGGTGGCGGACGGGGGTTTTAATGGGCGGAGAAATATTTTTGAATGAGAGAAGAGGCAAATGGCGGGGTTTAATCCGGTCTATTCGGGGGACGGGGATGAACCGGAACCGGAGGATCTGGAAGGTAGGGTCGTACGTGGCGGTGGGATAGTGCGTGAATGTGACGGGCAGCTACCTGGGTCCACATTGGGGAAATGGATTTTTGAATTTTAAGATAATTACCGAGTCTCCCCCACGGTTCAAGAAAATCATTGATTGTACAAGGAAAAATTCAAAGTAGTAGTACTTGATTTTGGTCATTTCTCCTTCAAATATTGTTGAATTTCAGAAATTGTTCACACTAAAATAATGTTACTTTTATCATAATTTGACGAGTAAAATTTTCACTGAGTTTGATCCCTAATACAAATGGAACTGAAAGAGTCATCATTAACCATTTATTTAGTTTGCTACTTCAAATAGACTAGACTAAAATGATGTAATTAAATTCCAGTACTTCAACTATCAGTGAACTTGTTGAACATCAATATATCAAGTGTACTAATATGTTTTGGATTGTACTTAAATAATATCTCTACATCGAAATTCGAAGACAGATAATACTGCGTACAATTTGAACCTCAAACTCCAACAAAATTTGAATATTTATAGATATATTGAGGTTGTAGTTGTTGCAAACCTTCAAAACCGAGTAAAATATGCATATTTACTATCTTTTTTTTTCAACAACCCTAAAAGGAATTTTAAATTACTAATGATATGGAAATTAGGGAATTTGTAATTGCTTTTTTTTTTTTACAACACCCCTAAAAGGTTTTTTTTCCAAAAATGTTGTGAGGATTAAAATTTCTTGTCAGGGTTGTAAAAAATCTCTTGGCAATTTACTGTTGTTTTCTAATAAAAGTAATAATTTGTGAAAGGAATAACTTACTAGGAAAAGTAGGAACGAACGATGTGAATCAAATAACATCCACCGGATTTTAAAATTTTCATTTGGAGTTTAAATATTTAAGATCGTGAAAAAGTAGATCTTAAATACATCGTTGCTTGTAATTTTTCTTATTTTTTTTTCTATATGTATGATTGTTCTTTTTCGAAATTTCTTTTTCATTTTACTTAGTGTGAATCGAACCCGTGCACTGTGCATACTTCCGGGAGGCCATCCTTAACATTAGACTGTGATTTAATTTCCAAAATACAGTACTTTGTGGTGAATAGAAAATGATCAAATCCGGCATGAATACCTCTTAAATTTCCATTTTTTTCTGTCTAAAAAAAATGCCTCTTAATTTTGCTTTGATGATAAAAATATTTCATTTGAAAATTATGGTTGGGATTGGATCAACAGCATCTTTAACTTGGGCCTTCAAAATGAAATCTAGCTATGTAAGTCAGCCTATCTTTATCTCATTTTGGGCTTTAGCTTCGAACTCGTTGCCCAATTAGCACAAACAGACACCTATAAAACTTGAAGCGAAATGGAGTGATTTGTTTTGGCGGATCAAAAACCTGTTTTACATTGGGCCTCCAACTAAAGGGCAACACATTTAAGCAACCAACAAAAATACTCATTAAATCGACCTCGTACTCAGTTATATTGTTTTAGTTCAATAAAATTGATTATTTCTTTAAAAAGGGGAAATTACAATTTGGCTCTCCATATATTTAACTCATTTGATCATAACGATTTTCTGATTAGGAAAAATGGCGTTATTGTAGGATTTGGGATGTGTATTAGTAAAATCTTCTAGCAAACTGCATAGGTAGACAAATTTGATTGCGTGTTCAATTAATCGACAAATTAAATGCAATCTTATATTCACTTGATAATCAATCGTATAGAAGGGTAAAAGGTAAAACAGATAACATTACATGTCATTATTACTGGTGGGAATAATCACCTTTGGAGAGAAACATTATCTTTGAAGTCAAGAAAACATAGCCTAGAGCAGATTTTCCATGAATATAGCTTGAGATGAGATATATAATAGTTGGCTGTTGTAAGAAATTGAAGTCTACTGATGAAATATATTTGGAAAAAAAAAACACATAAGATTACTATAATAACAAGTTCATAGGTACATCTTGTCCAACGATGATGTACAAAGTTTGGATTGATTAATAAAGTTTACCTTCTTTACCAAAATAAAAAAATAAAAAAATTATTCGTTTCAACAGAAAACATGTCCTGCTATTATATAGAAAGTATTTTCTTAATATTATAAAACGATTAGAGTATGAGCTAACTGCAACATCTTTTGTTCTTCGTTATTGTTATGAGTAGTGATACATACATGAAAAATTTGACAAGATAATTTGGAGAGAATGATTTGGCTGAATATACTATCCCATAACCCTTAAATCTATTAACCTTTTAAAGTAAGATGTAGGTATGGATGGTTATGATTCATTCCCTGCTAAAATTATTTGTCAAATTTCCTACACAAAAATCATTATCCTTTTGTTATAGTATTTGAAACATTAGATTATCGTCTCAAAATTATTACATTATGAGAAACAAGTCTGATAACATCGCATGCTAGTTATGATAGAAGTTTCGACAAAGGAACGCATTGCTGACAATACCAAACAAATACTCCATATAACAAATTAAATTCGCTCCCAAAAAATATAGGTAACCGTAAAAAAATAATAAAAATGTACGTAACCTCTTCAACTGTCCAATTTGTATTGAGAAGCTCCCATACATACACCTAGGAATAAGGGCATCATATAAATCCCAAAAATTGTCTTCTTGTCCCAAAATTCCTTTAGCCAACTTTTGTTTCTACTCTTTCGTAAGAATACGTCAGTCATTTCTTCAAGAGTTGTTTTCCCCATTGCCGTTTCGAGGAATACTCCATGTATGAGTTCATCAACTCAAAAGTCAAAACAGGTACCTTCATCAACCGTCATCATGATGAAAAAATAAATAAATAAATTTTTTTTGCATGTCGTCGTCAAGAAAGTGCCCTCGATAGAGTTGTTTTAAAGTAAAACTAGTATCACTGTCCGGCCAGTTACCCGTGCGCCCGCTTATGGTGATTTTTGTTTTAAAATTAAAATTTTATTTTGTACAACCATAAAAAAATTAGGAGAAAAATACTTTTTTGAAATTTGATTTTAACATTGGAGAGATTGTAACTTGTAAGGAATAAGGATAAACAAAAAATGTGTTGTCAATCTCTTAAGTTTAAGGATTAATTTTCGGGTTTTAATTTTTTTCAAAGTTTAAGGATTACTTTTAGGAATTGATTTTTCTTTTAATGTTTTTCTTGGTTTTACATAATTTTAGGCGGGAAAATAAGTTCTCTAAAATTGCTACGTGTCCTTTTTGACATCTGCTTTACATAGGTAAAAGAGATTAAAATCCCATTCTCCTAATTTTGGTTTTTTTTTTTTGTGTGTACATTCTTATTTTTAGGACGAGAAGAGAAATTTAATATATTAAACCTACCAACCTTTCTTACTCATATGCGTACGGACATTTCTCTCAATTCTTCGAAAGTCGAAACAATAATGCAACAAAAACTGTGTATAACGAATGATTGATAAAACACAAAATATCTGTACGGTACCATATATGTCTTGATGATTCCAATATGTTCACTGTATACATATATTATTAGTTAATAGCTATAATCCAAATATGTCACATTCAAAACGTTACTTTTTTTCTTTTTTTTGTATTAATGCCATCGTCGATCAGCCACCTGTACCATTTTGCGTTCCTCATGATATGTGACCAGCCAGAATTGACCTTTTTCCCTATTCTTTCCACCTATCTTTTTCAATTTCATTTTTGATTCTTTGGTGGGTTTTTGTTGTTCGTACCCCAGCAAAGAAGCCACATTTCTTAAAGTGATTGGTGTCTTATATTCTCTCCGTCTCATAATTATTGTCTAATTTGGATTTTTATTTCTTATTCAAATTATATGAAAGTGAAATTTTAAACTGGACAATAATTTTAGAATAGAGAGTAATTGTTAAGAGCAGTAAAGGAGTTTGGAAAGAAAGCAAAATGTGGGCAAAAAGGTTTAAGGTTTGAAGATTGAAGGCAACGCTGCCATGTTGTCGGAGGCACGCCTCAACATCATTATACTATGTAAACTCTTCATACGTGGTCCAAATAATTTGCATTGAATTTGTGTTTGTATAACCTAGCCATGTGCATTGGTTACCTTTGATTTTGTAAATTTGGTGAAAGATGTGGTCTTGTTTAGTAGGGAAACTACATTTGGATCCAAACAGACACGAAGCCAAAATAAAAGTGCAGTCACATCCTTTCCATTTTATCCATCTACTAAATTTTTTACGTTTATCTTATTAGCAATGAAGCAATGATAGAGACAGCGACAAATTATAATGAAATGGAATAGTAATTAATGAAAAGATAAATACACCATCCTCACTAAATATGTGAATTTATTAATTGGACGTAAATATGTAATTTTTAGGGAAAGATAAAATTCTAACGGGAAAGTAGCAAAAAATTAGGGGGCAATAATACTCCACATTCACTTATTTTTTTCGCTATTTTTTTTTTCACTATACATATTATTTTCCTTATCTTATATTGTACTTAAAAATATCGTAATGTAATTCGTTATTTTTATGAGTCTCCACACGCCCTCTTGATGAAGTTTATGACTTTGTTACTGAATACTGATGATGAAATTCATGTCACAGTGTTGACTAAACATCATAGGGAAATTACATTTGGCTTCGTAACTCACAACTCACTGCATAACATAGTGTTGACCAAATTTTCATTGTAGGAAACTGGCAACATTTAGGTGAAAAAAAGTTCATAATGTAGGGTATCGACTGTGTTGAATTCAGGTTAACCAAAATGGACGATGAACCCACTCATGATCGGAAAGTTTTGACTCAATAAGAGGGGAAATGTAACGTTAATTAAAGCATAAACAGATTTAGAGATGATAAATGGCCTGTAAACTTTGTCAGTCATCAACTCTTTGATCCAGCTTTGAAGGGGTCCATTTTAGTGTTCATGCATATGCGCGGTCGTTAATGAAAATTTGATTTCTTTGTTTTTGTTTTGTGCCTTTGTTGTTACTTCTCATCTTTTACATGTAATTTTTGTTTTTTACAGTAATTAACACTAAATTACAGTTATAACTTTTTTCTTTTTTTTTTACATGTAAATGTTTGATTATGCATTGTATAGTTGATGATCAAGGATATATTCTAGCTTGAAAGGGAAGCGACTGAGGAGAGAGATCTAGTCCAGTG